CGCAGTAGGCACTAATTTTAGGCTGAGTTAATATAGTGGGAGACCCATGCCAGGTGCAGATTCCAATTAAACGTAGATTGTCAGATAATCGCGCAGTATGCTTATGCCTGCACTGCTTCTCCCATTTGAAAAATTTCATCACACAAACGGCACGTAAAAAAAATCCACGCATATATTCATTACTTCGCGTTTTAGAAATATAAAAAAGAATGCATTCCAACGTCCATAGCTACATTGGATACAGAGTGGCCGTGGTTACCGATGCCCTGTTGTGAAGACATCTACCATTACAATTCTGGAGGGTGTCTTGCTTTATGTTTACCTAACACGGCCAATACCTTGGCATAAATTCGCTTGCTTTCATGGGTAATAGCCAGGGTTAAAATAGAGCAGAGCAATGCCAGTGGCTGGTGTAAATTTAAATATCCATTATCCCATGCAGATTCGGCCTTGCTTCTGTGGGGCTGACTTTGCCAAAAATGATGTGTTCGCCCAAGTGAAATATTCCTAACATGTTTTATTTTAATTATTAAAGTATTTCACCCGGAACATCCCATGCGATAGAACATTTCGTTTGCAAAAGGTGTCCAGGGAATAAATTAATACGAACATAGCAAACATGTATACTGTACAAACATTTAAAATGTATAACTTATATAATTTATATTCATCTTCCATTTTAACTTTTGAAGCTGATAGGAGACATTAATAATGAATTGCGACTTCTTTCTGTACCATGATGATTTGAGACGTGCTGTTTCAGGAACGAGTGAAAGATTCAGCACATGCAATTAGGCCAATCAAAAAAACCCAATATTGAGTAATGAATTATGACAATCATTGTAATACATGCAACAGCAGCTGCGATGAAGAGACTGATGTTTCAAACCCGAAGGAAACACAACATTATAGGAAGAGGGCTTAAACAGATGAGGGTAACATCACCTGGAACTTTCATTGTGCACCATCTATAACTGTGCAAGGTCACGAGTGACAATGGAGATCGATAGAAATACATCTGCCCCAATTTTTATTTGACTACAAAGTGTTCTTATTGTGAGTAGCAGCTTATCTATGTTGCTGTATTTGCTATGATCCAGGCAACAATGAACTGTGGTTCCAAGGCACTGCTTAAGTCAAGACACTACCATCATAGAGGGGTATGGCGAAGCCTGTGAGAGTAATTGAAGTTGAATTCTCTATTAGAAATTTGCCCGCGAATTTAACATATCTTAAGAGCCAAGTGGTCAAATAACTATATCTATTAATCCGGATTTCTGAGTCAAACAGTTACATTCATGTCTGTTCTGTAATGTCATTAATCACCACAATCTACTGCCTGTTGGGAAGTGGATGTCAAAGAACTATTAACGCAAAGCGGGGATAACAATCTGATTAAAATGCTCATTCGTGTTTAAGTGGCAGTAGAGATGATAATTAGCAAGACCCGTGCAATATCAATGTTGCTGCAATATTGCACATGGATGCTTATCTCACCTCATTCAGGATTATTCTGTTACAGGTCTATGGTATGATGCAAACCTTCGTATGGAGCTATATGCAACACTATTATATTACATGCGAATCCCATTTGCATTCGTGTCATAGTCAAATCACCCACCCGTGTATTTATAGAAAATAATACATAAGGAAGACTCGATGCACCAAAATATTATCTTACTTCTTGAGTCATTATATGCCCGTTCAATAGAATTTAATGACAACGTGGCATGAGCTTGTTGTTGGATTGTATTTAGAACGCTGTTTGTATATAAGTGACATAGGCTGGCCGCATAATAGCTATGTGTGTAAATTTGAAAATACAATACTGTATTTGTTGTGAATTGTGAGTCGACAGTTATTAATAAAGTAGTTATTTATAAACTGCAGTATTATGTTGATTTAAAAAAGGGAATATATTTTAATATGTTTACGGTGCTTTTTAAGTATGCACGTTCATAAAATATCCCCGCAAGTTCAGCATTAATATTAGCAGCTTAAGCGCCGATGCTTTTGCTGTGGTCGTTCGCAATCGTAATGCCTTGACGTTCGTGCCATGTCACTAATGAAGCGAGATGCAGCGTCTGATCAGGCGCATTTCAATCTCTGTCGCAATGCGCTCTTTTCTGTTGCTGCTGTAGTGCAAACAGGAGTAAAGTAATCTTCTAAAAATGCAATTCTCAATTCCACTACCATGCTCCTACTGAGTTCTACAGAGCCAAGGTGTCAGTCACATCCAGGGGGAATGTAGGATAACAACTCACTAGCGGTCCCGGCAGGAATATCAAAAGAACTCCAGAGGTGGCTATTGATAGTCGATACTAACTGTGGTGTTGTGCAGAAGGGTGGGGAAACACAGAGTGGAGTGAGAGTTGTGAGAGGGGACAGGGACAGCAGGAAATACAAAACATGCAAAGGTCAGCCCGTCCATCACATGCAAATATCAACAATTAATGCTCAACATGTATCCCCTTGGCATTTAGAAATGGCAGTGTCATGTTAATATAGAAAACAGTGATTATTGGTTTAGCCCTTGCAGCTGCTTCAATAGTAGGTTGGGTACATATGCGATTATGCATAGGGCCTTCCTGGTGCAGAGGAAATATCGGCTGCATGCATGGTCTATACGATACACCTAGGCTAATGTTGGGAAATGTTACATTCCACGTATCACTTAGGATGGCATTCAATAAATTGACCGCTGTCAATAGAACTGGCAGGACATATCGGTGCACCAGGATGCAAAAAACAATTAATTAAAGCCTGCATTGATTTGAAAAACAGAGCCAGTCTGGGTTTACTTGTCCGCAATGCCGAGTCAGCTCGTCATCCTGGGATTTACAACAGATGCATTAACATGTGTGGACAACCTCGATAACCTAAAGCAATCTCTCTTAACCACAGCCAAAAACCTATACAGGTGCAGCAAATAATTAAATACAGCTCCAATGCTGCGTGTTTTTTTTTCTGACACACACACACCCCACCCAATCTTTGGCAAGCTTCCCTATCGTGAGACTCCACAGGTTATATGTTATTATTCAGTTTGCATTATGGAAGTATCCACTGGGACACAAAACATTGGCTATAGTTTAGGATAGCAATGATTAAAGAACCATTTTGGGGTTGTGACCATAATCCTAACCTGAACTCAAAATCCAATTTCTATTTTATTCAAATGAAACGCAGTCCTTCTGCAGAATGTCAAATAACAGCCATAACCGTGCTCAGACTATATCCATTCTTGATGACTTCTATCAACTCCTTTTGCTTTATTTTTTGGCGCACAGTAAACGAAAAGCCCCCACGCTGAACGTGAAAACCTAAACCCCGCCCTGTAGTAATGCGAAGCTTTTTGGTTCCAGAAAAATGGGATTCATAACCAACCAACGCGTGGGCACCCTGGCAAGAGACCTGCGGCTGCATTTGAGCCAATCAAGCACGAGGCACTGCATGCGCTGCAACGTCCCCCCTGTGGCTCGTAGCAAGCGAGGCTCTCGCCGCGTTTGTGTCCAAAATTTCAGCAGCAATATCTATGGGACTTTTTTATTTGTTGTTGTCAGTATCAAAGTATAACAAGAATAAGAATGGGTTTTACCCTTTTGTGGTAATAAATAGGTGTTATGATGGTCAAACACCAAATAGATACATTTTGCAAGGAATCAAGTCTGCATCAACCACACGTACTTTTGGTAAAACATGCACACAAACACGCTCTGATAATATATGATGCATCGTTTTGAAACTGATTGGCCTACACCAGAGACAGCAATACTTGCTGTCACAGTACTGTATATCCCTTACCCGAAAATAATTGCTCCTGTTTAATCCAGTTTGTATTTATAAACCTGCGTAGGTTTGCATGATCAACTGCTTATTGAGAAAGTGAGCAAAATTTGACACGTATACAATGATGCTTCCTTTTCAACATACCGGTTTGCTGCAAAACAATATCAATTGGCAAATTCATTCTTGTGACAAGTTGATTTGTTTGGCTGATTTGGGTGGAGGAGGGTTGCACTGCTCTAATTGGCACTCTACTCGCACACTATCTAACCCAAACAACTAATCACGGATCGTAATGCTAGTGGTGAAAACCTACATATCAAATTCACTCCACAAGTGTTGAACTTGGATTCAGAGGATCTTGTGGGCAATGTTCGTCATGGCTGCTACGATGCATCAACAGGGCAATCAAATACTTGCCCCACCATAGGAATGTAGAATTACCATCACCGGCTCAATGATAATTTGAGAATGAATCACTTCAACCTGACAAGTGGAAAAGACACGATTGGCTCAAAAGCAAGAGGGCATTAACATGCAATCTGGTTACAATATGGTATTCATACAATTGATTTTACATGTTCAAATGGAGGCTCCATATGCTTAGATTAAAATAGCCATTTGTAAAGGTACGATTTGCAATGTATTACATTTCCTCTAAATATATTTCCTTTATGATTTGAAAAAAACAACAAAAGTAAAATTTGATCAAAAAACCGAGCATCCCAGAAATTGCTTTGTATCCATCAATCATGAAAACATAGCCTTACGATGCCACACCTACAGCTTTTAGCACACTGTTAGGGCAAACATTATTCGTGAGCAGCACCTATGCAACTATAAACTAAAAACATTGTTTCAATTTTACCAGGTATGGCCCACTGAGATATATAGCTCTTTTTCAGAAGTGACCTGGCCACAAATGATAGCTCAACAAAGTGGCTTATCACGTGGAAATTTATAGCAGCCAAATACTCAAAACGCTTGTTTCTGAACGTGGAGGGAAAAACCGTTGGAACCGGACAAAAATCCACGCGACCACGGGGAGAGAGGCACGCAAATTCCCAAATATAGAGCAGGCGTCAGGGTCGGGATCCAACCCACGAACATGCTGCATACCAGGCGAGCTCGTTAACATCTCGGCACCGGCATCACAAGCGTGCACTCGAGATGCGTGGTCTGGGCCGGGGGGCGGTGTGTGCGGCATGGCTCACCGCCGTGGCCTCGGCCCGGATGCGCTCATTGTGTTCCTTGGCGGCCGCCCTCTCCGCCTTCTTCTGGAGCTGCGGCCCCCTGCCGAAGAAGATGTAGTTGACAAGCGCGTACTCGAGCAGCGCCAGGAAGACGAAGCAGAAGCAGCCCATGAGGTAGATGTCGATGGCCTTGACGTAGGGGATCTTGGGCAGCGTCTCGCGCAGGTGAGTCGAGATCGTGGTCATGGTGAGCACAGTGGTGATTCCTGCACGCCGCAACAACGCCCGTGGGAAAGCAGGATCTGATGGAAGCAACTTCTGGGTGGCCCCTGAGGGGCAATGGTGGTGGTGAAAATGCAAAATTACGAGAAGATACATTCTTAGCATTTACTCATCTGAACCCCTTTCGCTTCATGATGACGGTCTCTCTGTATTGTCTTCGACACTGTGATGCGCAGAAAATGTTTGTTCCAGTGACTGTGGCCAAGTGACTTACAGATAGCCAACCAAACCTACATTCATTCAAAGCAGGATCGCTATTGCAGAGCTTCTCTTAACTCTTATTTAGGCTGTAAATAAAATGTATAAAGTTGAAGGCTTGTATCTTTGTTAGTGATCCCCAGGAACCCTTCTTAAAAGATGCAGGCGAACATTACTTAATCGGACAAAACCTCATCCAAATGGACATTTCCTTTTCAGGGGTGGTTTGGAGAAATGCAAACGAAAGATAGCGAGGCACAAAATACAACGAACAAGGTGCATGAACAATGTGGAATTGGTTTCCCTACCGGCAGAAACTTCTGCTTCAATCAACTGAATCCCCACCACCGGCTCAGGGATGTAAACAGGAGGTGACCACCACCACTCAAAGCTCATTTGAGCAGAAACTCACTTCGTCTTTCACTTAAAAGTATTTAGCAAAGTCAACTGTGCCGACAGACACGTGCACAGACGATCACCTCTGCGTAGCCAATCACTCGAAGGGCTATTGCACCACAGCCCCGTATGATTTCACTTCGAGCTGCAGCAGTCGAACCCAATGTGGCTAAAATGGAAGTGCCATTGGAACATCAAGCAGTGCTCAAATAGTGAGCCTTGTACAGGCGAGAGCGATGTTCAGAAGCGGGTTGTGGCTTAAGGACATTTTATGGCGAGATGTTACTACTACTACCTCACTTGCTATTCAGGAGGTCGTGGATTCGATCAACGACCCTGACACCTGCTGTATATTTGGAGTTTGCATGGTCTCCCTGTGGTCGCATGGATTTTTCTCTGTGTCCTCCAGTGTTCCCCTCTAAATTTAGAATCAATGACACGCGTTTATAGTATTTGGCTGCTATACAATCCCCCGTGATGATGATAAGCCACTTCATTGATCTATCATTTGTAGCCTGGTCTCTTCTGAAAAATAGCTATATAGCTCAGAGGGCCTTACCTGGTAAAATAAAAAATAATATAGTCTAGTAGTCACTCATGAGTTTCAGTTACTCATGAGTGAGATGTGAAACAGTGGAGGCAAGTTGAGGACTGTCCGCCATGATGTACAGGTGGTTTGATGTGTCGATGATTGGTACTACAGATGGTGAGAGATCCTCACGAACTCACCCTTGTGCAGATGTTAATGGTTTAGAAAGGAGCTTTACTATTATAGAAATTTAATGTTGATGATACGCTGGCAAACAGGTGATGATCTTTCTCTGGATTTTGTAAACAAGTGGCGATAGCATGGCCTAATGGTGCCGTGCCAGCGACGCGTCTCCAACTGAGATGTTGCGAACAAAGATGTATTGGTAATACTTATGGTACCATCTTTGCACATATTGATGTAATGCTCGAGTAGATATTTTAAAATAGCATAAAAAACTCAGAATTCTGAACGATGCTTTTGGGCATCTAGTTCCTGCAGTGCGGTGTGAATAGTAGCGAAAGCTAATTCATTACGCATTGCCCATCTCCAGCAGTTGCTGAAAATCAGACACATGTACAAAATCTGGACCCCAACTGATAAGATTAGCACAAGCAGCAGAAACTATTATTAAAAGCGCAAATTTGCTTGTAATTTGTAAGATTAAACACATTTCTTTTTTATAACAGCATTACTTAAATGTTGATATAAATCGTGGTCAATGATAACAAAATGCTGCACCGTTACCAGCACGGGATAAGTTGAGATGGGGTGACATTGCATTGTTGTATTGCATTGTCAAGCATTGTCTGAATCTGTCCAGATGAAGGTTGCTACCAATACAGTACTTATGACCTTTCCTGTAAGCCTTACCATGTGTGCTATATGTTCTGAGGAAGCTCAAATATGTTTGTGCCAAGATCTGTATCGCTGAAGCATCTACTGGCCCTACGTAAAGGTTAAGAGCATTTCACGTTGTAGAAGTATCTCCTGGTCTGGGATGGTGCTGCGAGCACTTCCCTTGGCAGAGCTCGACTTGATCCACAGTCGTTCAAAGGCAAACAAAATATCGGTGATAACTCACCAACCACATCACTGCAGTCATTCATCCATTGAGAGTATAGGCCCATCTCTATGATTGTAGTACTCCCATTCCATGAATATAGTTGTTGAGAGCTATTGTATGGAACGCTATGCTGCCTCCAAGACCGTTAAAAAAAAGATCCGCATTAAATTCCTCCGCGAATTTGAAAATTCTATCATGTATTTTAGTTCCATCATGCTCTCTAATTAAGCTAGCATTCTGATTGAACAATCTTTCATGCTCTTCTTCAGTTTCATTTCCATGTGGCCTGTTGCATTTAGATCTATGTGAGATGGAAGTCTGACTGCATCATTGGTTAGGGCTTGCATCCTGATGTCAGGACTGCAGAGCTGGAATGCCCTCGCCCCTCACCGAGATTCTGATTGGCTGCTGGATCAAATGCAAAATACTACCACACCCATTTTCATTGGCAGATTCGTGAGAAACTTCGCTCATCAATATAGTGCAAGAGATTTTTTTGCGTGGAAAACTTCCAACTGCAGAAGATTTTCTATGTAAATGTATAAATAGACTCCTTGTGAATTGGCCTAATTGGGCTTTATTGACCTAACTATATAAAACATTACACCAAATATATTTGTGAAAGCACAGGTAATAAAATTACTCCTTCCTGAAAGGTACATTCGGGGCAAGCGTTCATATGTTGGATGCCCTCAAAAAGTGGTGGAAATTCCACAGTGATAATGTATGTTGGAGGCCAGTCACTCAACAGAGCAACCACTATTCACATCATCAGCAAACAGCAGCGTTCTAAACTTCACAGGCATGATCAGCTGATTAAGCCAGTTGTAATTACCGGCGAAACGTCACGGTACTGGAATTGTAAATGTTGTTGTGGGTTTACTCTCCAACACACACGCGGTTAGTGCTGAACTAGTAACGAATTGGTACGTTTTGTTTACTTGACAAACCTTACACATTGGCTGTGTCGGATGGCGGTGGGTTTAACAACACATTTATATTTACTCGATCTAACCCCAAAAACCCCATCTATTATGGATAATATTTGTCGCGAAAGCTTTCTACTATTATTACTCCGTGTTAAATGATCAGCTGAGTTGACCGTCAGCCGGGATTTGTGATATGGCCATGACGTCACAGCACCACTCGGATGGATTTACAATCGTTTTAGCATAAACCAAAGTTACTTAAATTCTGATGTAATCATGTTAAATATTACAATATTACTATTACTGCCACAGAGGCTCGTTCCCAACCACAGTGAGTATGAACATATGTTGTTGCGTACTCATATACGAGTCCAGTCCATCATGAATGTGCACTCGTTGGAGCAACAATGTTTAAAGTATGCCGCAAAACTGGCTTAGACTCAACGTATGATTTGGACCACTGTGTTAGGACTGCCCATGCACAGAGAAGGATGATTCAGACTCCAATGATTCAGATATGTGACAAGCTCGTCAAAGTGATGTCCTCATCAAGTGAGCATTGAGCCAGTGCTCATCTCCCATTTACAACCTTGAGCAAGTGGTGGAGATTCCGCATCGTATAGAGAGGTGAGTGTGTTGAACTCATTTTGCACCGTGCGTAGCCAACCGTGCTCATTGGAGGAGCGGGGGAAGGACAACAAACTTAAACACAAAAAGCAGTTCTATCCACTTAGGCAAATGGAACTAAACTGAACTGGTGGGGTTTTTCCCCTATTTTATGGCAACAAAACTGAAACCTTTTTACAAGGATTCATGTCTGCATTAACCACAATACCTGCAGTCAAAATGCAAACAAAAAACACACTATGATAATATATGCATTGTCCTTGAAACTGATTGGTCCACACCAAGGGACGGCTTTCTTTTGAGCCTCGACCCAATTGGTGCTCGACCAGATGACGCCAAAAGGCGTACAGCTCAAAGACAATGATAGTGCATTGTCTTTGAGCTGTACGCCTTTTGGCATTGTCTTTGAGCTGTATGCCTTTTGGCGTCATCTGGTCGAGCACCAATTGGGTCGAGGCTCAAAAGAAAGCCGTCCCTTGGTGTGGACCAATCAGTTTCAAGGACAATGCATATATTATCATAGTGTGTTCTTTGTTTGCATTTTGACTGCAGGTATTGTGGTTAATGCAGGCATGAATCCTTGTAAAAAGGTTTCAGTTTTGTTGCCAGAAAAAAGGGGAAAAACCCTATTATTATATTTTGGTACTGGCAAAGGAGGTCTAATGATGAACTGGTGGGCTTAAGACCCCTGTATTTAGACTACTATTTATATTACTGGAGAGTTCTAGAATGTTCTAGAAGTTACTCCAAATTTACTCAGCACTGAATCTATCTGGAATGTTCTGGAAAATAGGTAAATTTCAAAATAGCATTGTTCTGGGCACAAAAGCAAAGTTTTTGTGGAATAATAGCCATTTTCTGTATTTTTGACGCATAATCAATTAGGAAATGACACTTACTACTCAGGAACAAAAAACAATTGTTACAGTGTTTTATGAGGAAGAAGTGTGAAAAACACAACGTAGAATAAATCAGTGAAAATGGCAAAAAAAACAGTTTCATCTACAACAACAGTTAAATGACCTTGCGCAGGCGAACGTCCATTGACATTATTCATAAGCGACATCAATTTCCAGCACAAAACACAAGGAAATGTCTAAGAGACTCACAGTGAATTGTGAGCATCCATTATACATACATTAAACATCATTAGAGATACGGTTACAATTGTATTATATCCCCTCTAAGGGAGCCTCAAAATAACTCACGTTTATTATTTCGAGTTCACAAAAACCCCAA